CTTGTTTCGATCATACCTGCGACAGTTGGAGACCACTGGTGAGAGCTGTGGAGGACTGAGGCAGGTGAGTGCTTTGTCATGGTGAGGTAAGATATGCCCTATCATTTATGTGTTTGGATGGCCCCCCCAAAAAGTCTAGTTCCACTGGTAGAGAAAGATGCATGAGCTGGGGACAAATTCCTGAGGGACCCAATATCTACTGCAATAGCACAGGAAGAAGAGTCCTAAGGACTAAGAGGTAGGAGCAAAATCAGGTGTGTGGCACCCCAGAAGGCACAGGAAGCCAGTACTCCCAAAAGGAGAGAGTGGTCAACACATCAAGTGCTGCAGAAAGAATAAGAAAGATAGCAACCCAAAACAGTCCCCTGGATTTCACAATAACAATGCAGTTAGCAGTTTAGCAAGAACTGTTCAGTAAAGCAGAGGGAATCAAAATCAAATAGTGGATTAGAGTGGCGGGAGAAAAGAAAGGGGGAAGGATAGAAAAAGTTGCTTATGTTGGGGAGAGAGACAGAATAGTAATTAGAAAATGATTTTTTTTAACACAGTAGAAGAAATGTATGCAAGTTTAAATGACGTGAAGGAGATGGGGACCAGTTGAGGGTTTCAGGAATGGGAGACCGTAGCATGAAGATGCGGTGGGTGGATAAGCCTTGGGCAGGATGTCACAGGAGGGGAAGGAGCATGGGGTGCGAGTGAGGTGTATAGCTGTGGAAGCAAAAAGCAAGACGGCACCTGTGTGCTCTGAGGAGGCGAGGCCATTAGCTGGAGGTGGGAAGTTTGGGGAGAGGGAAGACGGTATGAGATAGACATTTCTGAGAGTGGACACGTAAACAGACTAAGGCAATATGGTAGACTTTCAGGAAAGTTTCTCCTTCCCAATTAAGGTTTGTGACCATGAATCTAAAGTAAAACTAGTTAGCCTGACTTTGACTTTTTTTTTACAGGATAGTCCAGCTGCTTGAGTACTGGTGTGGAGGCTGTGGGTGGTGCGTGTGTCAGTCACGCAATAACGACCTTAGCGAAACAGGAAAGGCAACTGAGGTCGCCACCGTAACTGTGATTCTTCTCTCTGAATTCTCTCTTCCCACTCCCTGCTTCTTCTCAGCAGCTAATTCAGTATGAGGTAGGAAGGTGAGTCAATGTTGTCTCAGATCACTGACTTGCTTTTTTTTACCCCTGGCACGTTTAGACCTTTTTCCATTAAAAACTCTACTGTCGCAAGAGGTACCAATAGACCCTGCGAGTTGCACTGCAGAGGGCCAGGCTGTGAAGGTCTGCAGACAACGTGCCCTGTGCAGCGTGCTGGGTGTCATTACTGAAGCACCTGCTGAGTGCTGTGGAACCACGGTGGGAGGGGAGTAGTTAATTCTGCCTTGGGAGCTTGGAGAAGGCTTCTGTAGAAGGCAACTTTTGAGATGTGCCTTGAAGAAAAAAGTAGGGTTTTTTTTTTTTCCCTTAGATGAGAACTCAATACCTCCTCTGGCCAAACTTTTCACGTGGATATGAATGCCTCTGTCTGAATGAGCACTCCAGGAAACAGAGAATTCCGTGAGGAGTGGGGCTTACCATGGGGTTTCTCATCTGGCACCAGAGCTGAGCTGAGGTTTGCAATTCCAGAGGAATAGTGACTGGCCTTCAGCCCTGCCTGAGGCCTTGCTCCCCAGCCCCTGGCCCTGTATGTGTCTCTTACCAGTGGCCATAGTCCAGATGCTGCCGGATGATAGTGTGGGGCTGCACAGTCCCGTAAGCGTCCACCTCAGGCATGTTCATGTCATCAATGAAATAGACAAGCTTCTTGTTGCCAGGAGGACCGTAATTTCTGCCAGCCTTCTTTTCTAGAGGCTTCTCCAGGACAGCTGAGAAGAGATCCAGTTAGTGAGGGAAGCAAACCTCAGATGCCAGTACTGGGACAGCATGGATGTTGAGGACAAGCCATGGTGCAGCCTGCATGTGTGTGCAGACAGCAACCATGACAACAGCTACCACTGGATTCAGGCCTTCTACAGGACCAGAAGGCGAAGCTGGAAATTGCTAGGCAGCAATGGTGACAGTAGCTACCCAACATTGACCATCTTACTGTGTGCACTGTGCTAGGTTTTTACAAACTGTTATCTCCTTTAATCCTTATAACATCACTGCAAGATTGGTATTATGATCCCTTCTTATAGATGAGGGAACTGAGGCTCAGAAGAACTAAGCAACTTCACCAGGGTAGAGCCAGGATACAAACCAGAGCTGCCAAACCTCAAAGCCCATGCCCCTTCTGTCATACTTGTTGTTCTCAGTAAAGACTGAAGATACCTTCTCAGTCCCTAGGCCAGGCGCTCCGCCTCCAAGGAAATCTACAAATAAGTGGATCCTGGGTAGACTTGCCCTCTCTACCTAAGACAGCAAAGAGCGTGAAGGCTGTGGGTCCTACCCCAGGGCTGAGTAGAGGCCCCTTCCACCCGAGGCTTATAAGAGAGAAACCATTGGATATTTTGCCAACAGTGTTCCCAGAATTCATCTCATGCGGTATCCCTTGATCAAAGTCAACAGCCTCAGAGAATTTTCCAGATGTTTCTGGTGTTATGAATGGCTCCTTTCCCCGCAACCAGGTTTCCTGGCCTCCTATCAGAGCATCTCAGTGCCTTTCTGGAGACTGAGTATAGACTCTCTTCTGGAATTGTTTTTGCATTATCAAGCCAAAGAGAAGAAATCAAACAGCACAGTTTTCCAGCCTGATGGGACTTGTTTAGAAAAAACTTAAGTAATAGAGTGGAGATATATGTATTTTTTTTCCAGTAAAGTGATTGAATATTTATGGATTGCAAGAAACAACACTTCCTATTACAGCTGGAAGCTGTAAGAGCCATTAGATTTCTCTTAAAAAACAAGTTTGTAAACAAGGAGAAAGTTGTCAATAGATGTATGAAGGTGACAGATAGACAAGTTCCTTCAAGAAGCTTGAATATTCTAATTTTCTGGTCCCGAGTTAAATTAAGTGTTTCAAATATGAATTAAATTTAAATTTAATTAGCATCCAATTAACATACACTATCAACCAATTAATCACCCAACACCTTCTTCCCCCCTAAAGATATAACAACTATATATGAGATCTGTCAAAATGAAATATAATTAATGGGCTGCCAAGGACATGCCTTTGAGAACAATCCTTCTAATAGAAAATTCTCTCCTTAGGAAGACTTGTTTCTCTTCCTCCCAAGGCAACGATATTCAAATCACCCCCTGGAATGAAGCAGAGCCTGTAATTTGGGTTGATTAAGCTCTTTACGCTTCTAAAGGATTGTTGAGAAAAGCATTTCAGTTAGCAAGAAGCAGCCTTGGAGTGCACTGGATTATCTCAAACTGATGATGTGACGTTCTCCAGAGAAACAAAGGACTCCCCTAGGAAAGGCAGACACATTTTTGATCCCTTCTTGGCCAAGCTCTGCCCCATATAGCATCTGGGATGGAATTCTGTGTCCAGGAGGAACTGGAGCAGGGAAAGTGGGTTTAAATTTCAGAAAAAGGGTTGACGTTAAAGGTGCTAAACAAATGAGACATGTAGGGACATGGGACCCTCTCATCCTATTCTGACTTCTGATTGTCATAAGCGAGTCTGGAGACTCAAGCCCGTACCCAGGCCCGAGTTCATCTGCACATTTGTACTGAGTTTCTTGTCGAGATCCATATGGAAGGGCTTAGGGTTCAGTCTGTGGCCACGTGGAGCAGGGCTAGTTGCTCCACCCGGGTTCATGTTCTCATTCATGCCATTCCCCGGGCACCACTTCATGGCCACCTTATATTTGAAGAGCAATTTAATTTTCAGAGTGGTTTCCTATTTGTCACCTCATTTCCCCATTTCCACTGCTACCATCCTCTCTCACCTGGTAATTACAGCATCCTCCCAAATGAGTCTCCCTGCCTTCGCCCTAGTCTCCTCCTCAGCACATATTCTCAAAGCAGCAGACAGGTGTATTTTTGTAAAGTGTGAATCGGATTGTGCCAGTCCCCTGCTTAAAGCCCTCAGCAGCAACCCCTCTTACTTGGAGCAGGAGCCAGTCTGGTCACTTCTGCAAACCTTGCGTCTCTGTTGCTCTCTCCTGCTGCTCCCGCCCTCACTCTCTGCTCCAGCCACCCTCCTTCTCATGCACTAGTCACTCGCTGCCCCAAGGACTCTGCCCTGGCTGCTAACTCTGCCTGGAATCCTCCTCTTTCAAATGTCAGCACAGTGACATCCATCACATTCATCCAACATTTAGTTACTCAAATGCCATCTTTTCAGTAAGGGCTTCCCTGGTCCTCCATCTAAAATGGAAACTCCCACCTCCTATCTCCTACGCTTGCTTCATTTTTCTTCATAACGCTTATCACCACCTAAAATCCTCTATCTTTTGCTTATTTATCTTGTTTATCATCTCATCCATCTCCTCCACACCAGAGTATAAACTTTATGAGGACAGGGATCTTTCTCTGTTTTTCTTATTGACCCAGAACATTATCTAGGGTGCTCAAAAACTATTTATTAGGTTAAAGAATGAATGAATGTATTTTATCATTATAATAAGCCCCATGAGAGAAGCATCCCCATTTTGCAATTAAGGACATAGAGGCTAAAGCAGGTTATATACCTTGCTGGAATTAGAATCCAGATATTTATTTATTTATTTATTTGTTTGTTTGTTTTTTGGGGTTTTTTTTGTCTTTTTTTCGTGTCCGGCAACGGATCGCAACCCTCAGTGTCGCGCCCGCACCGGACCAGGACCGGCAACGGGATCGCAACCCTCGGTGCTGCGCCTGCACCTTGCTCAGCCAGTGAGCGAGAACCGGTCTGTATGTGGGATCTGAACCCTCAGCGGGAGCGCCGCCGCGCTCCCAAGCAGC